TATATGGAAGAAGTCTGTTACAGACTCGAGTGATCATTCTGAAGCTCAGACTTTGGCACAGGATCTCGAACGATGGAAGTACTCTCTGACGCGTCTGCCTTTGCGACTCGAAAAGAGATGTGACCAGGAAAATGAAGACGAACGAGTCTAGAAGCTTTGTGTTCACGCAGTGAAAGTATCATACAGCATGATCATACGTACGTATCAGACGTCCAGTTTGCGCATTTTAGCATAGTTTGTAATACGAACGTTGTATTTTTTTGGTAATAGCGCAGCATGATGACGTTTCGGAAATTTTGATGCATGAAGTTCATTAAGCCTTTTTTTAGAGATAAAGACTTTCCGGAACCAGAAGTAAGAAACATCATTTGTCAAGTTCTTCATGGACTTGCATATATGCACAAACACGGTCGCATACGGAGCTGTACTTTCAGTTGTTTTACTTTATTTTTTATTTTAGGTTTTTTCCATAGAGACATGAAACCTGAAAATGTACTCTGTATGGGTCCTGACCTGATCAAGATAGCTGACTTCGGTCTCGCCAGAGAAATACGCTCAGTGCCACCATATACCGAATACGTGTCAACTCGGTGGTAGAGTTTAATTTCGTTTTAAATTTTATGACGATATTTTTACCACCTTTTCATGGTTTCGGACTATATCTCATCGGGCTATAATGGATCTTCAACACAAAGGATTATTTTTATAAATTACATTAGCGCAACACGTTTCTTATAATCCTGTGATATGCAGAATATGACTATGAGTTTGTAGCTGAATCTTATTGAGTTATGGTTACATCTCGTGTTAAAAATTGTTTCAGGCAGATAAGGAGGTGTTAGAAAGGGTCGATCCTGCCATCCCATCTTGTTTCAAATAGGTTTTCATCATCAGTCATTGGTTTTTCCATTCCCTTGATATTTACATTTGTCGTCCAACTCCTCAGTGCTTAAGTTAAAGGCAAAGTTTTCTTCACTGTTATGGCTTGAATAACGACCTAACCTATGCATTGCACAGTAGTGTAAGTCTACTAGCTGTCCTTGATTTTTTTAGCATCCTTATCCCCGTATTTCTTTTGCGGCTTATTCGTTGCATTCGTTGCATTCTAAATGATTCCCAACGCCATGCAATACTTTCATTTCACATGAATGGAAAGAATGAACATCAGCTCTGTGTATTTCTTTTCACGCAAAATTTGCTTCCTTGATGGAGGATCTACTCCTGCCGCCTACATCGTTTCTTTCTTGTCACTCGATTCAGAGGCAGATGGTGTTCTGCTGAAAGACACGTCATCTTAACTTCTCGTCTGTTTCCAGGCACTCAGTTATGATTAATGCCCTTTTCTTCTTGTTACAGAATTCTGCAAAAGGTCTTACTTGCTTTCTGATGCTAATCTGTCTTCTTTCCTGATTTCTGTTTTTCCCTGTCAATGTAATTTAAACCGTAATTTCTAAATTATATAACGTATTATTCAAAACTTAGCTTTGGCAATTGCATATCTCTTTATTTTTCTACAAATTTTATGTGTCACTAATTGCCAGAGCAACGTCAAGCATTTTTTAAGACTTTCGAGACTTAACTACTGAGATGTTTGCTAAGGTATTTTAAAATTATCAAATTGTACATAAGTGTCACTTTTTGTATCTTTCATAACTATTCTGATTTCATGGGAAAGGCAGCTTTCGGTGCTGTTGCCACCGATTACCGCTGCTTCGTCGTCAACAGACTTATGCATAGACTGAAATCACTTCATCTATCTGCATGGACACCAGTGGTACTGATGTACTAGGATTCTCACATGAAGAAGAAATGAATGTGGGCGTTTCGCAAACTCAAGATGTCCTAAATCCTAATGTCGTAATCCTAATCCTAAATCCTAATGATGTCAGTATCCTAAATAACGTTGAATTATTTGCAATGCGTAATCAGAAAATGTTGCAAGCAGCAACGGTTGTTCCACTCCCTCTTGCCAGTCACAAAACTTGATGAAGAAGAATCCGATCTGCCTGTCATTGATTCTAAATACTATTTAAGTTAACAGCAGCTGTTGCTGCCGAATTTCGTACTTTTGGAGCAACTTTTCATGAGGTCATGTGCAAACGAAGACAAATGTTATGCTTTCATGGAATCAAGGAAAATGACCAAAAAGAGTCCTTAATCCATCAACTTCTAGCTTCTTTTCCATAACTTCAGGTTGAGAGAGATGAAAATGTAGCTCACAAGTTCGGTCAGTGCCGTTACGGCGGATTTTTCTGGTGTTGACCGCCAAAGTGGTCTCACTCCCTTCAGACACAAATGGCATGGAAAAACCAATTCCATGGTGCCTTCTTTGGGGATAAACAGTATGGCTGCTCCTCCCGTCTTTCTGACTGATTTACAATCAGATGGCACATCTCCTATAATAAATAATGAATTCTTTTAACCTCAGTTAACAGGGCTCCGTTTCGGAGTTCACAACGGTAGTTCACTGTGCCGCAGTTTGCTTACGAATGTTCATTCTTTCGCATTTCGCCCTGTCGTGTGATCCCGTACTTTGGTCGTTGTCCGTTCCTCATGGGAAGGCAATGAGAATGAGTTATAGAGGGCGAATTTCAATTTAGTAGAAATCTAGTGCCTGCCAGCGTTAGATTTTGAATGTATTTTGTTCATAATAATAAACTCTTTGTGTTCCAGCGGTAACTTAATTAACTGGTACTAGCTGTTAGCAATCTAGCTGTGACGATGTAGATCAATTATGACCCTATAACTTTAATTAATTTTTGATGCTGATAATAAAACATACCTCAGCATACTCGCATCCACAGTGTTTCATTTATGCGTTCATTCTTGATGTAAATTATATGAATCTAAGTATTCAATGATAATGATGCCTCATTTAATCAATTGAACTAATAGGTACAGAGCTCCTGAAGTGCTCCTCAGGTCGACGAGATACAATTCGGCGATCGATATCTGGGCAGTCGGATGCATAATGGCTGAGCTGTACTTATTGCGTC